TCAAAAAACTTGAAACCCTAAACTAAGCCCCCTAAACCCTAAACCCTTAGCCGAAAATTCAGGCCTAAACCCTAAACTGTGAAGCATTTGCAAATAATAGTCAGTTTGGTTGACCTTAATCGGGCCGCACATTCAGTAAAGTAGTCAGTGTTGGTGACCAAAGCAAGCCTAAACCCGACACCCTGAACCCTAAACCCTAAATTTTAAAGATCGAAGATAGATCTTGAGGAAACTTGGGTCGTTTACGTAGTTGTAAGGTCTTCGGTGGGTCGAGGGTAAAGGATTGGAGATAGATCGTTCTTGAAGAAATTTGTATTGTTTACATAATTGTAAGGCCTTCGGTGGGTCGGTATCTGTGCGAGGCATGGCAAGGTGTACGATTTGTTGCCAGCAATTTGTGCTTGATTGTCAAAGATGGGAAGACGTACGATTTGTTGCCACCAACGTGTGCTTGATCATCAAACATGAGAAGAAGTACGATTTGTTGCCGCCAATTGGTGGTTGATACCCTGGGCCCTAAATCCGGAATTCTACAAACTTGAAACCCTAAATTCAGCCCCCTAAACCCTAAACCCTAAACCGAAAAAACAGTCCTATCCCCTAAACCATGAAGCATTTGCAAATAATAGTCAGTTTGGTTGACCCAAACCGGGCGACACATTCAGTAGAGTAGTCAGTGTCGGTGACAAAAACAAGCCTAAACTCGACACCCTAAACCATAAATCCTGAAATTAAAGATCGAAGAAAAATCTTGAGGAAACTTGGGCCGTTTACATAGTTGTAAGGTCTTCGGCGGGTCGAGGGTAAAGGATTGGAGATAGATCGATCTTGAAGAAATTTGTATTGTTTACTTAATTGTAAGGCCTTCGGTGGGCCGGTATCTATGCGAGGCATGGCAGGGTGTACGATTTGTTGCCAGCAAATTGTGCTTGATTGTCAAAGATGGGAAGAAGTACGATTTGTTGCCACGAATGTGTGCTTGACAATCAAAGATGGTAAGAAGTACGATTTGTTGCCAGCAATTTGTGCTTGATTATCAAAGATGGCAAGAAGTAAGATTTGTTGCCAGCAAATTGTGCTTGATTGTCAAAGATGGGAAGAAGTACGATTTGTTGCCAGCAATTTGTGCTTGATTGTCAAAGATGGGAAGAAGTATGATTTGTTGCCACCAATATGTGCTTGATTATCAAAGATGGGGAAAAGTACGATTTGTTGCCACGAATTGGTGTCTAATTCCCTGGGCCCTAAACCCTGATTTCTAAAAGCTTGAGACCCAGAACTAAGCCCCTAAGCCCTAAACTCAAACCAAAAAAACAGGCCTAAACCCTATACTGTGAAGCATTTGCAGCAAACAAAAAAACCAGTTTGTTTGATCCAAATCGGGCGACACATTTAGTAAAGTAGTCAGTGTCGGTGACCAAAGCAAGCCGAAACCCGACACCCTAAACCATAAATCCTGAATTTAAAGATCGAAGATAAATCTTGAGGAAGCTTGGGTCGTTTACTAGTTGTAAGGTCTTCGGTGAGTCGAGTGTTCAGGATTGGAGATAGATGGGAAGAAGTATGATTTGTTGCCACCTTCGTGTGCTTGATTATCAAAGATGGGAAGAAGTACGGGCTGTTGCCGCCAAATGTGTGCTTGATGATCGAAGATGGTAAGAAATACGATTTGTTGCCAACAATTTGTGCTTGATTGTCAAAGATGGGAAGAAGTACGATTTGTTGCCACCAATTTGTGCTTGATTGTCAAAGATGTGATCAAAGACGGTCAAAAGTACGACTTGTTGCCAGCAATGTATACTTGATCATCAAAGATGGGAAGAAGTATGATTTGTTGCCAGCAATTTGTGCTTGATTGTCAAAGATGGGAAGAAGTACGATTTGTTGCCACCAATTGGTGTGTAATAGAATGGACCCTGGGCCCTAAACCCTGAGTTCTAAAAACTCGAAACCCTAAACTGAGCCCCCTAAACCCTAAACCCTAAACCCTAAACCGAAAAACCAGGCCTATATAAAGCCTAAAACTCGAAGCATTTGCAAAATCAATAGGCAGTTTGGTTGACCCAAACCGGGCGACACATTTAGTAAAGTAGTCAGTGTCGGTGGCCAAAACAAGCCTAAACCCGACACCCTAAACCCTTAGTTTAACAATCGAAGATAGATCTTGGGGAAACTTGGTTCGTTTACATAGTTGTAAGGTCTTCGGTGGGTCGAGGGTAAGGGATTGGAGATAGATCGATCTTGAAGAAATTTGTATTGTTTACTTGATCGTAAGGTCTTCGGTGGGTCGGTACGATTTGTTGCCAGCAATTTGTGCTTGATTGACACAAAAGGGAAGAAGTACGATTTGTTGACAACAATCTGTGCTTGATTGTCAAGATGGGAAGAAGTATGATTTGTTGCCAGCAGTTTGTGCTTGATTGTCAAGGATGGCAAGAAGTACCATTTGTTGCCACCTATGTGCGCTTGATTATTTGAAACCCTAAACTAAGCCCCCTAAACCCTAAACCCTAAACCGAAAAAACAGGCCTAAACCCTAAACCGTGAAGCATTTGCAAAAAATAGGCACTTTGGTTGACCCAAACCGGGCGGCACATTTAGTAAAGTAGTCACAGTGTCGGTGACCAAAACAAGCCTAATCCGGACACCCTAAACCCTAAACCCTAAATGTTAGAGATCGAAGATAGATCTTGAGTAAACTTGGGTCGTTTACATAGTTGTAAGGTCTTCGGTGGGTTGAGTGTACAGGATTGGAGATTCCTCGATCTTGAAGAAGTTTGTATTGTTTACTTAATTGTGTGGCCTTCGGTGGGTCGGTATTTCTGCGAGGCATGGCAAGGTGTACGATTTGTTGCCAGCAACTTGTGCTTGATTGTCAAAAATGGGAAGAAGTACGATTTGTTGCCACCAATTCGTGTTTAATACCCTGGGCCCTAAACCCTGAGTTCTTGCTGGGATGCAGTTGGAGAAGTTGCCATGGGGCCGAACGCGCAGGTTACGTCGAATTTCTTTTCACCAAAAGCAGTGAATCTCTTGCTGTCGTGCTACTTCTATGGCCATGGTTTATGCGACAGCTGTCATGACCTTCACACTTGAACCTTTGATGTGCCCTCGGAGGTCGGCTGGTGAACGTAGGAAATTCCCTTCAGCACTCCTCCTTGGCCTTTTCGTTTGACGAAGAGGGCACACGAAAACGTAAAGATGATCACCGCCCGACCAGCTTGTTACTGACCTCGAGGGTGACCTCCATTCTGGCACACAAAACAAAGTTCCCGCTGTTCAAGGCGGTTGATGTCGGCATTCCTTAACCCCCAACAATTCCTCAGAGTGTGGACCACATCGCGATCCTTGACGATGTAGTAGGGACCACGATGGGCGACCTCGTGGTAGCGGATGATTGGTGTTGGAGGTCGTGGTAGCTGCTGGATCTGATGGAAATTGGGGTCGGTCTGTACCCCCTGGCTCGTTTGAAGTCGGGGTCGAGGAACCACATGAGGTTGAGGAGGAGGTGGTGCTGGACGTGGGTCAGGGATATCCTGTGCAACCCTTCCCATCAATTCCCTCAATCTCCTTGCTTCATGTTCATTGATGATTGATGGGTTGATCTGCATGAGCTCCTTCAACTCACCGCATTCTCTTTGTCGACAATCTCCTGAAATGCGTGGCCTTTGCCCTCAACCGCATCACCGTTGGAGCCCTCCGGTACAATGCCTTGCCACCTTCCCAAATCAAGATGGCGACTGCACCCATGGCCACGAGGATGATGTAGAAGGCGACAGATCCATCTACCAGGGCCGGTTCCTTGAAGCCGGGGACCTCAATCACTTCCTTGGAGACCTCTGAGCTGAATCCAGCATTGGCAGCTGTGTTGATCTCGGCCTGGCTGCAATACACCTCGCCCATCATCACCAGTAGGAACAGGATGCACTTTCAGCTTCTCATGTAGTCCTGGGTTGGGTGTCGCAGCTGTGCCTAGGGTCCTGAGCAAAGGTCTGGCGGGGACCCTCAGATTCCATCTCGGAGTCTTTGACGAACCAGATACTTTGTCCCCAGATACGTAATTTGCCGACTGCCCGGCACGAAAGTGACCACCAATTATCCACGGGCGAGTCGTTCGCGAATCCAAGCACATCGTAGACGGAGATGCCTTGTCCTCCAGCTTCCGGAAGATCCGGTCATCAGTTGGACGGAGGAAGCGTTGTCGACACAAAGTTCCATGGAAGGCTCCCTCTCCAGAATGTTAGTCACCATGCCTCGGACCGACTCGCCGAGTAGCACTCCTTCAGTGGCTTCAATCAACTCCGATTCCGTCGTGAATAATGTGACCAAAGCTTGGCGAGAGGATCGCCAAAGGATCGCTGATCCTCTGTAGCAAATCGCCGCTAATCCATGCGAACGCCCTCCATTTGGTGCAAAGGAGGAATCGGTGTAGATGGTAATCCTGGATGGGTCACCTTGCCCTCGTAGACCAACTGATAGTCCTGGGTTTGAGCCAGGTACCCCAAGACGCGGTGAGCCGTCCTCACCACAGCCTCTGGATACCAATTCATCTTTGAGGAAAGCAGGGCAACAGGGTACTGGAGGTCGGGTCGAGTGCGTCCTGACAACCATAGAAGTTCGCCCAGGCATTTCTGAGCTTCCCTTAAGGCTCCAATGTTTTCCGTCACCACGTCTGGGGCCTCCAAGAGCTCAGCCTCCTTCTCAGCTGTCAGAACCAGTTCCTCCCTTGTTCCAATCGCCCAAGAAGGATTTCCCTTGTAGGAATGGGCTTGTAGGAGTTCTTGCACGAAGCCCTTCTGCACGATGTAGTACGAGTCCTCCTTATCCTTGGAGATCTCCATTCCAAGGAAGCGCAAGCTTCCTCCGACTTCCAGCCAAGTAGGTGAATCACATTCCCACTTGTTGGTTATCCAGTCGGCGAAGCCCCGGATTGGTCCATCCTCCCCCGTCATGAAGATATTGTCCACATAAACCAGGATGTAGCCAACGGTGTCTCCATACTAAGTCCCATCATCTGACTTGCCAAGGATCTCCTTTACAGCCCAGAGTTGCGAATCAGCAGTGGTTTGCACCAGTCCATATTTCTTGCCCTTGACCTCCCAGATCGCCTTCTTCAGCTGCTCATCGCGGAAGTTCGCCCAGATTGCTGGGCTCTCCCGGAGTCCATACAATGCCTGGGATATCAGCCATAGTTCATCAGGTTCGGCCAGTCCCAAAGCCACAGCCAAGCAAGGAGGTTGTACCGCCACTGGCGGTCCTTTCCATGGTGCCAAGACGAAAGCCTGGCGTACATCGGTATTTCCCAATGTCCATCTCTTCTTGGCTGTGTGAGCAATCAGAAGACGAAGAGTAGCCGCATCTGCACCGGCCGCGTAGAGCTCAGATTGTGGATCTTCCTCCAGGAAATTTCCACAACAAACCAAGCGGATTTTTCTTTTCTAGTGTCCACCTCCATCCTGACCAGGTGGCTTCACCGTCCCCACTGCTTTGCTCTTCGCCGGCGCTAACCATCTCCCTGGATTCTTCCGGATCTCCGACAAGTCAACGTTGTGGGTTACCTCCAGATCCTTACCTTCTTGGTCCAATTGGTCCAGGATCTCCTCGATGTTCTTGGTGTACACCACTTCAGCCTTTCGCAGCTGCACACCAACGAGGGAGTGATCGACATTCTGTCCCAGGTCTCGGGCCAATTCCCGTGCAATCTCCCTTTCGATCTCCTGCTCGGTGAACTCCTCGAAGAGAAAGTGATCTTGCTCCCCAGAATTTCTTACCATTCGAATCTTCGGAACCTCCTTCTCCTCCTCTTTTGGCAAGGGGAATCCAAGTTGCTCAAGCTGCTGCCTCGCCTCCGTTCCAAGCTTCCTCCAGGATGTGACGGTGTAGCCGACAACTGTGATTCGCTCCCCATCCTCAGGATCCCAAGCCTCAACAGTGTGCCATTGCCTCGGTGGAAAACTCCAAGGCCCCGTTGGTGCGTAGTAGCTCTTAATCTCCTTGCCATTCACCACTTTCTTCTCTTCCACGAAGTTCTCGTTTGGCGCTTCGCCTTCAATCCACAATCTCCCTCCAGATCGAGGTAGCTTCAGCGGAGAAACCAGATTTTCAGCACCAGCATCGTTGTACGAATCTCGGTGTAGAGGAGCGGCGATGTTCTTGGAGAACAGCACACTGGTAAAGGTTTTTCCCGGATGATCATGTTTGAGGAGGGCAACCAGGTTCTTCGTTGCCTCCATTGCCCCCTTGCAGTTCACGGTGAGGCCGACGACACCACCATGTTGGAATGCCCCCGTAGTCTGGTACACCTGAGAGTCACCCAAGTCCAGCTTGCTTCGGATGCACGGTCGAGCTCCGGTGCGTGACTTGAACTCTCTTCGGGGCAGCTCAGATTCCAGGATGCTTTAGACCATATCATCACGATTGGGCACCTTTCTTTGGATCTTTGTCTTCAGAGCCTCCAGGCGGATGTCGTAGTCCTTGGGGAGTTCGCCTGGAGTCTTCTTTACACGACGTCGAAGGGGAGCAATTCCTTCTTCAGCCGGGACATGAGCTTCCAACTCAGGGAGAAGTCCTTCCTCCTCCTCAGGTTGGATGACTTTTTGGCGAACCCCTTTGGCGATAACCAACCCTCCATCTTCTCGGACCAGTACATGTCCTCCAGATACGTCCGGGGCTCGTCCTCGATAGAATCCTTTCTTCCACCGAGGGGGTAAATCAGGTAGAGGAGCATCCACCACCTTCTCTTGCCGTGCAGCATAACTCTTCGCCTTAAACCACACAGTTTGCCCAAAAGCCGGAATCGTCTCCCTTTTTGTTCCATTCGGAGGTACATGTCGATGCCAATGAACATCTGCCGCGTGTCGTGCCGCCATCGGCCAGTCCCGAGCTTCAGCCTTAGAGGTAATCAGCAACTGTCGGGTCATCCTTTTGGTCCAACGAACAGCTTGCTCACCTGAGCCGTTAGCTGCTGGTTCTGATCCACTGGTCTTTGTGTGGTAGATGCCGGTGTCCGCAATCCAGGATTTGAAGGATCGAGTCCTAAATTCCCGGGCCCTGTCGGTGTGGAGCTGGAGCAAGGGAAGATTCGCCCTCCGGAGTTGGTTCCTCATCTCCTTCATTGCCTGGAGCACATGAGTACCTTGTCGACGGAGAAGGGGACGAACCATGTAGAGGGTGACAAGGTCCAGACCTTTTGTCAACTCCTTGACCTTTTCTTCGAGCTCATCCTTTTCCTCCTCCTTCTTCCCAGGTTCTTCCATCCCATCATCCGGTTTTTCCGCGGCCCGTTCCTCAGGACTGAGCTGCTCATCGTACAACCTCTCGAGTTCCTCCTCCAGTTCATCACGAGGTCCACCACCATGTTCTTGAAGGTCGGGATCTTTGACGGGAGCTGGTTCCGCCCATGCCTCCTCCTCAGTCCCATCCTCTTGCTCCAAAGCCGATTCGCCCGGTTCCGAGAGTAAACCTCCTCCTTCTTCAATCTCGGCCAGAGGATCATCTCCATCATCGGGCGGGTCCATGCCTTGAAGTTCTTCCTTGATTGGCCCCTTTGGGTTGAGGAGGTTCCTCGGAATCCTGTAGGCTCCCACCAATAGGTAGCGAAGTTGGGATTCGTCCACTTGACTCATGGATCTACCATAAGTCCGGAAAGGGCCAGCGATATCAATCGCCAAGGAGAATGGTGCCGGTTGGTGGCAACGCTTGTGAGCTCTTCCAACGCCAGCCGCCATCAAACAGGTAGCACAGTCCCGACGATACGGCATGTGGTCGCAGGCAAGGTGATGAGCCCAGATGGCCCGGTCTGCCGCGCTCAGCTTCAAGATGGATCTTCCCCCAGCCATTGCCGTTCGCAATCGGGACAACTGAAGGGGTGAACCCCACCTGTGGATAGGGGAGGGTGTAGCCGGTGCAGTCCTGCCATCCATCCAGTAGAAGGACTCGATGTTGGTTGCCGTAGAAATCTTCCACGGACGATGGTAGCCAAACATTGCCGCATCGAAGGACACCCTTTCCCATCCATAGTACTCCGACACGTCCTCAAACCAGGGATATTCTTCTCCACCAACTGGCATTTGGCTCCAATCTTCTTCTTCTTGGCTCTTGGGAAAGAATGCCCAGGGCATCATGCCTCCACCTCCAGCTTCAGCGAGAGCATATACCCACACCTGTTTCGCTACACTCAGAGGATTCCGGTGATCAAGATGACCCAACACCCCACTGATTCTTCCTTGCGAGGCCGCCCAGGTCAAGACTTTCATCACATTGGGATCCATTTCCATATGAGGGTCCACTCTGAGAACCACCGCTTCGCCCAAATTCGCCTGAATCAAAGGGTCCTTGAGGTCCTTATCCTCCACGAACGAGACGATCCATCTTCTTGAAGCCAGCAACCGTTTCCGAACTCGCCGGGGAATTGGTAGAGCAGCTTTCATCTGCTTCTTGATGTCATAGTCAACATATCCCATCTCCATCGGCAATTGACCCTTGACTTCACTGGGGCAACCCTCCAAGATCGTCGCCATGTGAACTGCTCGCAGCCCCTGACTCCGACATCCAGTGTGGAGGTACTCCCTGAGGTGTTCCTGCCAGCAGCGGTTGTTGATAATCAAGCACAAATTGCTGACAACAAATCGTACTTTTCCCATCTTTGACAATCAAGCACAATTTGCTGGCAACAAGTCGTACTTCTTCTCATCTTTGCCGGTTTAGGGTTTAGGGGGCTTAGTTTAGGATTTCAAGGTTTTTAGAACTCAGGGTTTAGGGCCCAGATTATACAACACCAATGGGTGGCAACAAATTGAACTTCTCCCTATCTTTGATAATCAAGCACGGCAACAAATCGTACTTCTTCCCATCTTTCACAATCAAGCACAAATTGCTGGCAACAAATCATACTTCTTCCCATCATTGATCATCAAGCACACATTGGTGGCAACAAATCGTACTTCTTCCCATCTTTGATAATCAAGCACACAAATGAGGCAACAAATCGTACTTCTTACCATCTTTGACAATCAAGCACAAATTGCTGGCAACAAATCATACTTCTTCCCATCTTTGACAATCAAGCACAAAGTACTGGCAACAAATCGTACACCTTGCCATGCCTCGCATAGATACCGACCCACCGAAGGTTATACAGTTAAGTAAACAATACAAATTTCTTCAAGATCGATCTATCTCCAATCCTGTATCCTCATCCCACCGAAGACCTTACAACCACATAAACGACCCAAGTTTCCTCAAGATCTGTCTTCGATCTTTGAAATTTCGGGTTTAAGCTTAGGGTTTAGGGTATCGGGTTCTAGGCTTGTTTTGGTCGCCGACACTGACTATTTTAGTCGCCCGGTTTGGGTCAACCAAACTGACTATTTTTTTGCAAATGCTTCACGGTTCGGCGTTTAGGCCTGTTTTTTCGGTTTATGGTTTAGGGTTTAGGGGGCTTAGTTTAGGGTTTCAAGCTTTTAGAATTCAGGATTTAGGGCCCAGGGTATTAAACACCAATTGGTGGCAACAAATCATACTTCTCCCCATCTTTGATAATCAAGCACACATTGGTGGCAACAAATCGTACTTCTTCCCATCTTTGACAGTCAAGTAAAAACTGCTGGCAACAAATCGTGCTTCTTCCCATCTTTGATAATCAAGCACAAATTATTGGCAACAACTCGTACACCTTGCCATGCCTCGCATAGATACCGACCCACCGAAGGCCTTACAATTAAGTAAACAATACAAATTTCTTCAAGATCGATCTATCTCCAATCCTTTACCCTCGAACCACCGAAGACCTTACAACTATGTAAACGAACCAAATTTTCTCAAGATGTATCTTGAATTGTTTAAATTCAGGGTTTATGGTTTAGGGTGTCGGGTTTAGGCTTGTTTTGGTCACCGACACTGACTACTTTACTAAATGTGTCGCCCGGTTTGGGTCAACCAAACTGACTATTTTTTGCAAAGGCTTCACGGTTTAGGGTTTAGGCCTGTGTTTGCGGTTTAGGGTTTAGGGTTTAGGGGGCTTAGTTCTGGGTTTCAAGCTTTTAGAAATCAGGGTTTAGGGCCCAGGGAATTAGACACCAATTCGTGGCAACAAATCGTACTTTTCCCCATCTTTGATAATCAAGCACATATTGGTGGCAACAAATCATACTTCTTCCCATCTGACAATCAAGCACAAATTGGTGGCAAGAAATCGTACTTCTTCCCATCTTTGACAATCAAGCACAGATTGCTAGCAACAAACCGTACTTCTTACCATCTTTGATCATCAATCACACATTGGTGGCAACAAATTGTACTTCTTCCCATCTTTGCTAATCAAGCACACAAAGGCGGCAACAAATCATACTTCTTCCCATCTTTGACAATCCAGTATGACTTGCTGGCAACAAATCGTATTTCTTCCCATCTTTGATAATCAAGCACAATTTGCTGGCAACAAATCGTACTTCTCCCCATCTTTGAGTAGTAAGCACACATTGCCTGCAACAAATCGTACTTCTCCCCATCTTTGAGTAGTAAGCACACATTGCCTGCAACAAATCGTACTTCTTCCCATCTTCGACAATCAAGCACAAATTGCTGGCAACAAATCGTTCATCTTGCCATGCCTCACATAGATACCGACCCACCGAAGGCCATACAACTAAATAAACAATACAAATTTCTTCAAGTATGGTTTAGGGTGTCGGGTTTAAGCTTGCTTTGATCACCGACACTGATTACTTTACTAAATGTGTCGCCCGGCTCGGGTCAACCAAACTGACTATTTTTGCAAACGCTTCACGGTTTAGGGTTTAGGCCTGTTTTTTTTCGGTTTAGGGTTTAGAGTTTAGGGGACTTAGTTTAGGGTGTCAAGTTTTTAGAACTGCTGAAGGGAATTTCCTACGTTCACCAGCCGACCTCCGAGGGCACATCAAAGGTTCAAGTGTGAAGGTCATGACAGCTGTCGTATAAACCATGGCCATAGAAGTAGCACGACAGCAAGAGATTCACTGCTTTTGGTGAAAAGAAATTCGACGTAACCTGCGCGTTCGGCCCCATGGCAACTTCTCCAACTGCATCCCAGCAGGTTATGAGTCCAAGCGTGCGCGCTTCGGCTGGCGGTGATCCGGATGCTACAGCTACAGATTTGGTCCCAGCGATGATGAATCCCATGACCTTGGAGGCACAGTCCAGTGGTTTGGATGGTGTGCGCCGTGATGGTGCAGAAGGGATGGAGCTGGGTTCCCAAGTGGCGACAACCGGATTCGTAAGGCCAACGAATGCTGTCGAACAGCAACCGGATGTGGGCGCGAGGAACGGTTATAATCACCGACTGGAGTTTGTCGCATCCTCAACGGATTGGCTGCAGAATGGTGTCCGATGGATGAGAGAAGCCTGGAGTGCAACCCGGGGTCCTCTTGGGTCCAGGGAGATGTTCTTCGGGGCTTCCAGAGGTCAAGCTCGAATGGCTGGACCCCTTCCTGGATCTCCACCGCAGTCGTCCACCTGGAGCAACTCTCCGATGAGTGGTTCCCCTCCTCATCCGGGACAGCTGCCGATACCAACTTCCTGGTCTGGTGATGGGAGCCATCCAGGATCCTCACATGCCCCTTTGTTCAACCAGCAGCAGCTCTTGGCGACGCAGGCCTCGCAACAGGCCTACCCCCTTCTGTATGGACCACCCTATCCGGAGGTTTTGGGACATGGTGGCCCTCCAAAGGCGGCATCAAGCAGCTCGGCTGGAAGTGACTTGCAGGCAGAAGTGAGAAAGCAAGTGGAGGAGTACATGCGAGAACAGCAGGATCGAATGCAGGCATTGATGGAAGAGAATCGGGCTCTGAGGGCGACGAGGCAGACACCGGCTGGTATGGATGGGCGAGCTAACGAACCTCCTGGCGATCGGGCTTTGCACCTTCATCAGGGGCTTCCTCAAGGATCGGATCGTGGTGGCGATGGTTTCTCGACGGGGGATTCTACGACGTTCACCTTTCAAGGAGGCGGCGACCATGTTCCAGTTCAGCTACCTGGTCAAGAGCTACCTCGCGTTCCAGCAGTGCTACCTGGTCAAGAGCCACATCGCGTTCCAGCCGCGCTACCTGGTCAAGAGCCACATCGCGTTCCAGCAGCGCTACCTGGTCAAGAGCTACCTCGTGTTCCAGTTCAGCTACCTGGTCAAGAACCACATCGCGTTCCAGCAGTGCTACCTGGTCAAGAGCCACATCATGCTCCAGCGCTACCTGGTCAAGAGCTACCTCGCGTTCCAGTTCAGCTACCTGGTCAAGAGCCACATCGCGTTCCAGTGCTACCTGGTCAAGAGTCACACCACGTCCCAGTTCAGCTACCTGGTCAAGAGCATCTCAGTGTACACAACCCGCTACCTGGTCATGAGCAAAACCATGTCCCTACTGGATGGTCTTATGGGGACCCTGCGGGGGGCATGCCAAGCATTGGTCCTTCCTACTCAGCACCCAGGGGGCGGAGCATGATGGAGGACCATGGGACCACCAGGGCTGGGTCGGCGCCACCAAGGACTTCGTTCCTCTCCCAGATCTTCGGACCGAGACAACGACGAGATCTAGGTCATGTACCAAGCGGCTCTCTTTACCAACCTCCTCACCAAGGGAATGTCTCCACCAGTCCGGTTCCCATCGCCTCTGCTCCGGCACCGACAGGCTCAACGACTTTGCCAAGCCCTTTGCCAAAGGAGATGGAGATCCTGGTCCAGGTATGACCCAACTGCAGTCGGCTATGGTGAAACAGCTCACCGCCGATACAAGTCCAAAGGGCCCAGAAGCAGTGAAACCTGGAGCCCAAGTTCCCAGTCTCCCGAGTGTGAGCGAGGATAGTTCCATTCATTTCCAAGACTGGCTAACCCAGGTGGAGGCAATCATGGCTGACATGTCCGACACTAGCAAGGAATGGTTCCAGAAGGTGCTCTTGGAGGTCCAGGCGGCGTATGAGAAGTACCTGCAGGCCAACCCCATGGACAGAGTAGTTCTTGCTCCAGGAGAACCGGAAACCCTGAAGACGGAGGCCTATGCTCGGGTCCATGCCCGGGCATCGACGATGAGATCAAGCAGGAGCTGATTGCCACCAGGAGGACAAGTGTCATCGCGATGCTCTATCGGTTGATGATCCTCTATCAGCCTGCTGGTGAGAGTGAGAGGACTCTCATATTGAGGAGACTTCAGGCTCCAGGCGTGGCGACTTCGGCTGGAGAGGCTGTACAGATCCTACGAGGATGGGATCGCTGGTTCAATCGCAGTCAAGCCATTGGCATCGTTCCTCCAGACCCCTATGTCCTTGTCAAGGGACTCACGGGCGTTTGTGACAAGATCCTCCCGGGCATGAGAGAGGCCTCCTTCAGGACCTCGATGTTGAGGTCCAATCTTCGTCTGGACCAGGTGCCTACACAGGAGGGCGCAGGCATCTTCTGTCGGAAATGGAGCAGGTGGTTGCGGCCACACCGACAACGCGTTCATCGGCAACTCCTTCCTCGTCCACGACTACACCTGTGCCGAAGGTCGACCACTCCTGAGGAGCCGGCGACCACACAGGAGGAAAGGGCAGCACGAAGGGCTAAGAACCCCTGTCGGTTCTGGACCAGGGCTGCTCTCGGGGGGCCCAGTGCGGATTCCAGCACTCATGGGAGGGCATCACGGACAAGGACAAGATGGGTCGCTGCTTTACATATTCGGGAAAGGGCCACACTTCCAATGAGTGTCCTACGAAGAAGGGAAGTTCAGAGAGTTCACCTTCGGCATCCTCGAAAGGAAGGGGCAAGGATAAGAATGGGGGAAAGGGCAAGAATCGAAATCGTGATCAGGAGCCTCCCCGTATTGCCACAGCCACCACTGAGACCACAACCTCGTCTCCCCGACGGTCCCGGCGACTTCCTCGAGTACCAGTCTGGCATCATCATCCAATGGCCCGGACACGGGAGTCCCCAATGAGCTCAAGTCCTTGTTGGCCAAGACCCGCCAGATGCTTCAATCTCTTTCGGTTGGCAATCCCTCCTTGAAGCCGCTCTCTGTCCACGAGGAAGAACGGGTCAACGACCTCTCCCATGCCCTCCTGGACAGTGGAGCCACCAATGACTTCGCCAGGCCAAGGATGAGAAGGAAATCCAGCAAGCAGCCCAGGTGATGGTCACCTTGGCAGGAGATGAGGGTAAGCTTCTACATCAGGCTTCTACGGGAACCATTTTGACTGAGCCCCATCATCCTGCTCCTCAAACCATCCTACCGCGGGGCAAGCTCATCGATCTCCTCGATTGCAAGGTCGACTGGTCCAAAGGTGGATGTCGGGTGTGGCATCCTACAATGGGAAGGATAAAAACCAAGTTGCGCGCTGGATGTCCTGAGATCACCGATGAGCAGCAAGCCAAAGAGTTGGTGATGGATCTTGAGAGGCGACTCTTGGAGAAGAATGTGGGCGAGTTGGAGACGAGACTGAGCTCCTTGGAGGCCTTACATGAAAAGGGAAGAAGCACGATTTGTTGCCAGCAGTTTGTGCTTGATTGTCAAAGATGGGAAGAAGTACGATTTCTTGCCAGCAAGTTGTGCTTG